CACACACACACACACAAAACTGCCGATGAGCTGATATTGATTGCTATTAATACTCAAGCCCCCATAGCTTGTTGCTGTTCTGCTCTCACTTGTGGAGTATGTGGGAGGAAACCACAGCCACGGACAGGTCGAAGTGAAGTGTGCGAGGAGAAAGAACAAGACACAAACACACAAACAGAGAGAAAGAACGAGAATGTGCGTCTCCCCATCGCTCCAGCCGGGCAGCCCTGTTGGCTGCTCTCCTCGCGGACAGAGAGTGTGTGTGTATGTGTGTGTGAAAGTGGGTGTGAGCAGCTGAGTGAGTTGGTCGCTGTGCACGTTTAGAGTGGCCGCCACTCCACTCTTCTCCGCTCATCCATGCTGGATTAAAAACCCCTTTTTTTGGACTCATACACACAGCTGTTTGGGACTCGCACACACTCTCACAGCTGCTGAAATGAGCGAGGAGGTTAAAGAGAAGGCTACGGGGAAGTCAGCTCATCGCAAGAAGAAAGGAAAGAAGGTAACAGAATTCATTAAGCCTCACTTGGGTTTGTAAACAACATGGTGTGGCTGCTTTAGTGGAAACAAAATTTCATTCTTAGTGATTCAGACATGAAATGAGGGCTGTGGTTTCACTTGCTTTATTTATTACCTAAAAGTTATAGAATATTTTTCAAACGTATGTCTGATTAGATATTAGAGGATGATTAATTTAGTCTTTTGACATGTTTGAGATTTTTGTTTTCCTTTCTGTGGATTTTGTTGATGGAGAGCAGCTCTTTTGTTGTGGTCGCTGTCAGCCTTTGTTAACTGGCCATTTGATGACAGAGCACTATCATGGCATAGCAGGGACTCTAATGGTTAGTTAGTCTTTTGTTCTTCATTCATTCAATAAAAAGGGCAGTTTATTCATACTGAATACTACTTTTTGTTGAAATGGTACATCAAGAGGACAAGCATTTGTAATGTGAGGATGTCGCAGGGATACATTCATGTATTTGGATGTATTAGCTATATTTTTACAGACATGAATTTTATGCAGCAATCTGGCCCCTTATTTAAAAACAAATAAATAAATAATATCCTTGTTTTGTTCATATTAAGTGAATTAAAATGTATATTTTTTGCACCATAAATTGATACTGCAGGCATCAAACACCTGTTAACCTGCTAATAGTCCCAGTGAGAGCAGAGCAGAGGATAAGAAATGATAGAGAGATTAGGTCCATACAGAAAATAAAGGGATGGGAAAGGGAGAAACATAATAAGCAAATGAGAAAGAGATGAGGTAAAAGTTAAAAGATGACGAGGAAAGGCTATAAGAGGGAAGAATTGAGAGGTTAATAAAGAGTGTAGGACAGGAGGTGAAAGTGAAAGTGGGAGGAAAGAGCTGTGGTCATGATCAGAGTGTGAGAGAGACACTAATTATATATATATACTATTTGTATATGAATCCTACAGATATTTCTTTTTCATTTTTGTTAAAGCTGCGCTGATAACATTTATTTTAAATTCATGGTAACATCAATTAATCTTCCTTTGAGTAACAGCTGTGATGGATCCACAGCAACATCTTTCAGCATTACAACTGAATGAGCCAATATGGCAACAAATTGTCATGATGATAATGCAGAAAATGCCTTCTCGGAGTCCGTTCAGTGATTAAAATGGGTTTCCCTGTGCTTAGCAAAGACATTTGGATTTATAGTTCTACATTCGCTTGCTGTCTGGCTGAGTGGGTGGAGTTTTGTGTGTGTGTGTGTAGTATGTATGTGTTGGTGACTGTTTTTGCTGGACTTAGAAGTGTTTTTTTGGATAAGATGTTTGGGATAACATGAAAATGGTTTGGTATTGTTTGACACCTTTTTGATACTAATGCCGATACAATACCTGAGTTTTGGTACCTAAACCGATACCTTACTTTGAGAAATATACCTACAAAATTCTGTTCTCCATTTACCATTTAAATCATGTCATTTTAAACGTTATCTAAACACAAATTAGCCTAAATGCAATAGTAAAAAATGTAGTGACTGCTCGCAGGGTTAGCTGGTGAACTGCTGTAGCTAGTGAGTTAACCGCTAACATGCTAGCCTGCCAGTAACATGCTCGTCAAACACAATAGCTCCCCATTATTTGTACTTTTCTATATACTATTTTATCCCCCCTTGCATTTTGTACTCAGGATTGTATATCATTTCTTTAAACAAAGAGTTACTGAAAAAGAAAAAAAACGTTCAAAGCTAACAAGCTTGCTAACTCACAGTTCTCATTAATAGAGGCGTTGTCCTGAGTACGACACAGACGACCTTATGTCTGTAATTGACGACATGGGAATGAGAGCGGGCTTTGAAGTGTGTAGGAGAAACTGCGATAGTCGCAAAAACACGCAAAAAGTGTGACATTTGTCACTTTTGGGCTACTTTAGAAACATAACGGTTCAACATGGCCGACTCCATTGAAGCGTGCAACATTTAGATAAAAAGGTCTCATTCTAAGGTAACAAAATAACAAATATCCCTATATTCAGGTGATTATACACTACTGAAAACGTACCTATGAATATTATATGCTGCTGTCAGCGGGCCTCAAAACTATTTTATCAAACAATATGTAAACAAGATTCAGACTATACATTCAATTCCAGTGCTCGTGCTCCTATAGATACATTTCAATCAATCAAAACAGAAAAGTGTATAAGTTTGACAGCAGCCCTACTGACGGTCCAAACTGTGGTAGTGTTTCTATGCATTTATATACCCGCATATACAGTATGTGTGTGTTTTTTTGCAGAGCCCACTGCTGTGAAAAGGGCTGCTGGCTAAGCACCTTTATTCTATAAGATGCAGCCTAATGTTTAGTCAGCTGTTCTTAATTGTCTCCCTGCACACACACCACAGTCTTCTCTGTTTATTCTGTGTAACAGGTGGTTTTGGCTCTCCCAGCAGACAAAGAAGGCAACATACAGTGTATATGATTTAGTATATATTTTAATATTGATGCTGTGTCCTTTAAAAGGGCTTTCAGAGTTTATATGTTATATATCATATCATATCAGTGCTGAGATTAATGATTCTTTTTGTATTTTAAGGATGCAAATAGGCGCCACAGAGAGGATAGAGGGAAAGGGAGCTGGAGAGAAAGAGCCAGAAAAGTAGAGGAGGAGTCAAAAAGGGTGGGGAGGAAGAGATGGAGAGGCAAAGTAAAACAAAAGCTAGGGGGAGGAGAAAATGTCAAAGTGGAGAGAGTCAGGATGAAAGAAGACGGGAGGTGAGGAGGGAAGAAAGAGAGGGAATGCAATGATAAAGAGGATAGAGAAAAGAGAGCTGGAACGATAACCTCACGATTGTGTTGTGAGACGGCGTCTCATCTGATAAGAGATGACTGTTGTGTCGCTGTGATCCTGTGGTGAAGAGACAGTCGGGGAGTAATGGAAGGAAAGGAATGAGAAGACAGCAAAAGCAGATGAAAAAGATGAGTGTAGAGCGAAGTAAAGTAGACGAAAAGGAGCTTGATGGCTCTATTTTAGGGAAGAGGCAAGAAGGCAGATGAAGAGAAGGGTAGGCAGAGAGTGAAGAGGAGGAAAAATAAAGGAAGGCTATTAAAGGAGTGAATAGACAAGATAAGTAGAGAGATCAGGAGAACAGAAAGTAATCTAAAAAAAAAAGGAGAGGAACATGTTTTTGCTTTGATGAGATAAGTGTTGCCTCCACTCTCCACCTGTTGCTAGGGACACATGGTATCTGTGGTGATGAAACCACAGTAAACAGTAGCACTGATGTGGATGAGTTACCGGGAAGAACCATCACATACTACAGAAGAGAACAATTGAATGCTTGCATGGATGTGGGTGGGTTTTAAGGTGAGAATGATGTGAGTAGGGAAGATGTATAGTGAGAGAAATGCTGTAATACTTCAGTTGGAGGACCTCAGATGAAGTCCATGTCAATAAACATACTGTTGTCTCAGCTGATTGGTTATTAAACATGCCAGTTGAATTATAATCACTATGTTTTAATTCAAATTAGATGGAAAGCTTCATGAAGTTGTGATGTTGTTGTTTAACCAGAAACAGCCGAAATCGCTATCACTAGCCACCAGACTCCAGAGACAAAAATTGCCTTTGAAAAAAAATGGTTTTATTGAATTTTCCACTGTCAATATAACAAACAAGAGACAGAACAGGAAAACAGCAATTTAAAAAACTTAACACAGTACAGCTCAGAGATATAAAAAAAACAGGCACATTTGTCACACGTTGCACCTCATTTTCAGTCAGTTATCACAGTGTCAACCACCATACTGTAGTTGGGCCTTTGCATCTCATATAGCCTACTTCATATGAAAGCTCCAGTCAAAATGGCAGATTCATATTTACATATTCAAGAGAAGGTTTCCACATTTTGGTAAAGTTAGCTGTCTTGGAGTGTGTTAGACTAATCAGAAGGTCCAGAATGCTCCAGTATTATCCTGTACCAACCAGAGATCTCTGGGGCCTTACAGGAAATCCATTAAACTAATATATTCTTCCTTGCACAGAATGCCAAGACTTTAAACAGTTTATCAGGATGCACATTAGTAATGTGCCTACTAGGAAGACCGACGAGAAACCATAATAGATCCAGTTCAAGCTCAGTTCTTAACATTTTCATTTCATTGATTGTTTGTATTGTTCCAGATATCGATATCCTAAAATGGTCATTTTTACTCGCAGACCATCGTGACATCGTAACTTCATTCTACTAAACAGAAAAAATTTGTACCAACTTGCAACACACGTGTCGAAAAAAGATGCTGCCAATTGAGAAAACGCAGCCAGATACCAAAATGCTGCAAGTTGCACAGACGACAACAGACACTGTTTCCAGGGGAGACTATAAAGTGATTTGTAGTGTTGCCATTGCTCTCTGTGTTTTGGTTCTGTGTTGCAGTGTGTTAAGCTTTAAGGGTCACTGTAAATAAGTAAGCTAGTGCTAAAAGGTTAAGCCTATTAAATTAGTTATTTCACTTATTGATAAAGCTAATAATTTTGAAATTACAGTCAATTTAATTCCTGTAAAAGTCAACCAAAAGAACGAATGAGCAAGATAAAAATGTTTAGTGTCAAACAAAACATGACACACCGTGACATGTTCCATATTTGCATTTTTTTCTTTTCTTTCCATGTCTACTCTAGCTGTAATTACATGCCACCGGTTGTCTGTAACTATCACAGAAATGGGGAGGGAGGAAAGGATGATGAAGCAGAGAGACATAGGGGACCTAAGAGCTTAGCAGGTGTGTTAATGGATGTAACTATGACAACCAAAGACCCGCTGGGAGAGGGAGGAAGTGCGAGAACCAGTTTTGAGCTGTGGAAGTTAGTCATCAGGTAGAGAAATTGCACACAGCTCAATATTAAATATCCACTTGGTTTAGGACTGAAAATCTTTGTGTTCACTGGTGCACTTCATGTAAACACAGTCAGAGTGAATCTCTGACTGAACTGGATGAACTCAAGTCTAAGAGGATGAAAACAAA